GACACTGCGACAGTCTGTTTTATTACATATTCTTCAAGCAAACGCATTTAATCTTTTATTTATGCCGCAAAACATTTGCTCTCTCATAGACACGAAAACTCAGAATATATATATATATATATATATATATATATATATATATATATATATATATATATGAAAATAAAAAAGAAAATAGGAAGGAACTGGTTAGGTAAATAATCAAAAGTTCCTTAGTATTTTAGTTATTATTTTTAAAAAATAGTGCTCGAAACAAAAGTAGAGCATAAATATAATTTATGTTCTAGCCCTGTTTATAATTTTAAACAGGGCTAGAACCTGTAAAACTTGGGATGACCTATGCCCTTTGTGCCTCCATGAGAAATTGCACATTATTAAGCTTCTAAATAATAATAATCTATTAAACAATAGACATGAGTTAACGGTTTTTTGTCGACATCATCAGATTCATGGTTTGAATAATTAGCTAAAAGCAAGCATACAATATAATAACTTTCATAATCCATAGCCCAAATAAATAGTTTAAATACTCTACAAAAAAGATAACCTTTTTATGAAGTCGTCAAAAACAAACGTTACGGCGTTTTTTTTTATATGCACAAATCCCTTTCATAAAAAAAAAAAAAAAATAAATAAAATCTCCATAGACACGCAAACCAGACTAGGGTTAATACATCTTCCGTTTCAAATTTACACACCCCCACCTTTCCTGACTTGACATCTATGAAAGTAACTCTATACTGATACTTATTATTAACACCCAACACACGCCTACCCAATTTAAAACAATTCGCCCTAGCTGTTACCATGGAAATTTTGATTTCAATTATTAAAGACGTAAATTTTTAGAAATACGTTATTCCAAAAAAAAAATTTCGCTTGAAGATGGAATAGAGCTTACTTTAACTCAATTTAATTCAAATAATTATATTGAAGTTTTCGGCTCTTGTTTTGAAACATGAGACCTCTTATGTCGCGAGTTGGAATCATATTTTAAATAAATATATATATATATATATATATATATATATATATTTAAACACACACACACACACACACACACACACACACATTTATATATATATATATATATATATATATATATATTCAAGCAAAATTTTGAGTTATCTCGGCATATTATGTCTAATTATTTTATTGTGATCTTCTCGTATTCTCTGATTGACTTCTTAATATTGATATTAAATTCATTATGGAAGGCGCCATACCTTTTTTTTTTCATTTCTTTTATTTTCCAAAGTACATTCAATCCAATCCGAGATCATCTTCAGGGATAAATTGCTAAAACAAAAAATTAATGTAAATGATAGTTGTGATTCTTTTTAGTAAACACGCATGCACGCTCACCGTTATAATTATTTTTAAATTAACTGTTGAAGTTATGTTGTTTTACATGTTTTGATCTACGGCGCCTTACTTTATATCAACATTAAGAAGTCAATCAGACAATTGGAGAGGATCACAATAAAAATAAATCTGGACATAATAAGTCCAGATTATTCAACCAAACATACCTGAATGAACATATACCGCAGATATATATATATATATATATATATATATATATATACGTAATCGGAGAACCGAGTTCGAATTTCGGTCGATTTCATTACATTCACTTACGTGCTAATACCCTTGGGAAAGTTATGGATCCATATCTTCCCCCATAGCTAGCGGTAAATGACAGGAAAGACTGGGGTCGAATAGCCTTGAACGGCGAAGTGTCTAGGAGAACAACAACTCTGAATTCAAAACCTGCGGAGTTCGTTAAAAGGATTTTGTGCCATACTTGTGCACCGATTCTCTGTAATTGGCTCTTTTCAAACAGTGGCATTGGTTCGGCACAAGCCTTCACCACTATACTATAATCAAATGATATGTATGGATAGTCTTGGCTGGCCTATTGGTTCTCAGAACTCAGCTGCTTGAACCTCATACGTCGAAAACAACGGGCGAGACTAGTATATATATATATATATATATATATATATATATATATATATATATATATATATATATATATATATACAACAGGACGCCATTTATTAATCAAACCTTGGACGCTGTGCAGGACAGAGAACCAAGTGTCCTGATAAACAGAGGCACAATCCAGGTTGTCCATAAGATGTTGGTCAATGTTGCGTCCTCTTTATACTAATAAATAATGTGCCAACGCGTTACCTATGAATAAGTGTTGGCCGAAAGATATCTCAGGTGCTGTTTGTCTATAAAAAAAAATAAATAAAAAGGTTTGATTAGGCGTCTCTGTTATTTAAATCTATTTTGAGGTTCTGTGGGTACAAATTTATATATATATATATATATATATATATATATATATATATATATATATAGTAATCTTTCTTTCATGCACGTTTTTTAATACAATTCCTCATGTGATCTTATATACGTATTTTGTAATGGATATCGGCTCGGAATTGGAAATCAGAGAACCAAGTTTCAATTCCAGTCGGATTCGTTATATGGCAAAAGGATATAAAGCCACCTCTTCTCCCTTTTAGCTTTAAATTAATTAGACGGAAGTCAATCATTATTATCTCCCCAAAATTCTTACAGTTAAAAAAATATTTTCTGGCTTTACATAGCCTAAAAAAGGTTGAGAAGCCGTAAAAAATAATCAATTAGTCATATTTAAAATAGATATATCTATACTGACATTCAAACATATTCGGAATTGGGATGATAATATGTATTCGTTTGTGTGCTTATTCCGAATCCCTCGTTGACAAACTAGAATTATGATACACGTGCACACATGAATTATACACGAACTCTGCTTGACATGACAGATAAAAGTTGAGTTCTGTTTAACCAATGGAAAACCAACAACACAGAAATAAAAAAAAACAAAAAAAACACCAGAATTTTCTTTTCGCCTTCATATTTCATTTTCTGGTGAAGTTTGATAAAAGTAAAACATGCTCAATTTATGAACGCTTCTTATTTATTCCTTGTCATTCTGTCGGATTCCGGTCTCAACTGATAGGCATAAAAGTATATTTAAATATATATAACAATAACAAAGATTACATATTTCCAAAAATTGCTTCACCAAAGTAATTCTATAAGATAACGTTTTTTTAAGGCACGCGAATTTTGTAATTATGGTGGTCGATATCAAGAATTGAAGCAATAATAATAATAATAATAATAATAATAATAATAAGAAGAAGAAGAAGAAGAAGAAGAAGAAGAAGAAGAAGTCAATTTATTCAATTGAAAGAAATAAAAGCTACGCGTTTCGTCCTCTGAGGGACTTTATCAAGGCAATGTCGAAATACGTCGGTTAAGTGTAGCCTTTTCTCTTGTTTCTTTTTATTCATTTTGTCTGTACAGATACATTGAGAATATTTACACACTTTCACACACATACACGCATATATATATATTTAAGTAAAAAAAAAAGTCGAAAGCTTGGACCATATTTCTTGTACTTTTCTTTCGAAATGAACTTCGAGGAATCTCTGACGGAATTTCCTCCTTGAAGAACTTAGGAAATTAGGAAGAACTTGGAAAATTAAAATTAATCGACAAATAGATCTATCGTTTTTAATTCTTACAGGACATTTGCTGCCTAAGTACACTATATATATATATATATATATATATATATATATATATGTGTGTGTGTGTGTGTGTGTGTGTGTGTGTGTGTGTGTGTGTTTAGATAGAAGTTAAGGCGCCAAAAGAATCAACAAATATATTTCTGCTTGTGTGTGTCTATTGTGTGTTTTCCGCATATATTCTAATATAAGTTCATATAATTAGATATTCAATCACGAGTGTTTATATTTAAAAAAGATTGCCAGTTTAACTTTAGTCCATTTAACTTAGTCGCCTTTTTAGAGACTTTATAAGTTTATCACAATCGTAACGAAGAATCAAAAACCATGGCGCAAAAGTACTGTTTTCTTTTCTCAAAGAAATTAAGCATATATTCAAGATCCATTTTCTTCAAGCTGTAAAAAAGTAAATTCTATTGCTAAGTGGCTCTACAATGAAGAGAAAACTATATAAGACAACCTTCAAATTCATAGATTTTCATTTTTTTCTAATTACATAGAGATTGGAACTTCAGCATACATGCACACATACATATACACAAACACATTTACATACCTGGTGAGTATATATGAAGGTCTATTTTACATGGGATACTTGGTTATTTATAATCAAAACTAAGTTATTATAACGCAAACTCAGTCACTTACATATGCATATTAAAATGTATATTTAAAAGTATTTTTAAAATAATTAACAAATTTATTATTGTTTCAAAACTGTATTTGAAATATTGTTTTGCATCTCACGAAAAAATTTTTGAAGAATTTAGTCTAAAATGTTTTGAATTTTCATCAAATCTTACACCGATCTTTAATTAATTTTGATAATTAAATTGGAACGACGTGTTGAAAACTGGCAAGTCTTTAATCGAAAGAAAAAAAAAGATGGGAAAAAGAACTGTTCTGAAATAGGTGAAAAGAAAGAAGCTATTAAAAAAAGATGAAAATTATATCGTATTAAGTTTACTTACCTATGCTGAATGAATTGAGTCCATGATAAACATTTTCTGACCCTCAAAAAAACATTTCATTTGTTTCGCATTTGTTACTTTTCATTTTTTTGCATTGTTCGTGTTTAGAAATTTGCGCCAGTTTGTTTACCGACTTCTACACAGTTGTTTAATCAGTTACCATTTGAATTGAAGGAATAAGGTTATCATTTTATCATTGCTAATATTACTTTAGAATTCGTGACAAGTGACCCAAGACTGGTAGTCCGGTGTTGCAGGCACCATGTGATGAGAACAGAAGGACGGAGGAGGGTGAGAGGGTCTAAAGTCTGTGTGGGTGTCAGAGAGGAGATGAAAAAAAAAATGGATAAGGTACAGGGTGGAGAGAAAATCGAATTTTAAAAAAGTGATTACGGGAGATTCTGAATCGATTAAAATTGAGAAGGGGTTACGAATAGATCGAAGTAACGAAAATTGGGAAATAAAAGAAATAAAAAAGATGAAGAAATGACGGGAGAAAGATAAATTGTAAAACATAACTTGGTAAAAGAAAAAGAGAAGTTGTAAGAAGAGAAAGAGGAAGCGGCCAGTGAAAGAAAAGGGAAAGAGGAAGATATAGGAATAGAAAAACATCAACTGACAAAAAAAAAAAAAGAAAAAGAAAAAAAAGAAAAAGAAAAAAAAGGTAGATAGTGTGATGGAATGCCAGCGAAAAGTTGGTAGAGGTGTGACAGAGAGGAGATGGACTCACCGGGTATGAGAGAGAGAGAAAAAAAAAATGAGAAAATAAAAAAGAAATTGGCAAAGTTCTGGAGAAAAGAAAGAAAGAAAGAAAAAAAGAAAGAAAGAAAAAAGAAAGAAAGAAAGAAAGAAAGAAAGAAAGAAAGAAAGAAAGATGAATAAAAAAATGAAAGAAACTGAAACAATACCAACGAAAACGACAATCGCGAAAAGGGGTGTAAATAACAGCAACAGGCTGTCGGCTGGTGGTTGTATAAAGAGAGACTAAAGATGAAAGGATTGTGAAGTTGGACTAAGAAACAGAAAGCGGTTAGTGGGTAGGTGCGTAAGGTTTACAGTAAATAGAAAGACAGAGCGGCGGAGAGAGATTTGAAGAGAGAGGAACAGGAAGGAGAAAAGAGAGGAAAGAAGTAGAGAAAGTGGTTATAACACGTGACAAAAAAATGGATAAAAAAAACGGGAAAGATTTATGTGAAAAGGGCAAAATAAGTTTCTTAAATAAGAAGAAAATGTAAAAGAAATATGGAGTGAAAAGTTTAAGAAAATCGAAATCCACGCGAGAAAGGAGGCGAAAGAAAAACTGACGATGGAATGGTGTTTGAAAAAATAGTGAAAGATATTTTTTATAAGCCAAGTCAGCAGGACTAGTCTGGTTTATTGAATGCCATTCAACCATCGGACCAAAACACGCATACGCGCGTGCGCGCACACACACACACACACACACACAAGCAAAAAAGTAAAAGAAAAAAAAAGAAAAAATCAAAGTCGGTCGTTCCTGGCGACTGAGGCGAACTTGGCAACATGCTGTGCTATCCTGTACATTTACTCCCGATGAATTGGACTTGCTTTCTATTTCCTTTTCAATCTGCCTCAATATTCAACCATTTCTTTTTATGGGAGTGGGGGGTATCGCGCATTTGGTTAATAAATGACTCTCTATCGGACCGTATCTTCACTCTCCTGTTTGATTCATCACTATCGACCGCTATTAAAATCGATCTTTTTCGCTCAAAACTTTACCTGTCACCGAACTTCATTAGGTTCACCTTTGATAAATTTTGTTTCTGCCTGTCTTTCTATCTATCTATCTATCTATCTATCTATCTATCTATCTATCTATCTATAGATATAACTCGTTCAGTTCATATCTATATTAATTCACATCTGTGTCAGTATATTCATACATATATATATTTATATTTATATATATATAGTGTGTGTGTGCGTGTTTCTATATAAATAAAAACATCCAAAATTTTAACCAATCAGTGCCCCTGTTTACATAAAGTTAAAATGTTTCGTTTTTTCCCAATTGCTGCAAACTAAGACACACACACATACATAAATACACACACGTGCGTACCCAGAACCCTCCCCCCCACACATACACACATAAGCACTCTGTCACGTATATTTGTGCTTTATTTAGAATTATAATAATCATAATTACACTGATGTAAGTCTGCAAGTATTGTCTTTTTCCACCTATTTTTCAATTTTATAATCGTGTTATGTTTTTTTTCTCTTCGTTCTTTTTTATTTTCCCTTTGCATTTTCTTCCAGTTTCTTGTTTTCCCTTTCTTTTTCCCGCCATTTTTCAGCTCCTTTTGCCTCATCTTTTCTTGTTTCTTCATTTGTTTTTTCGTCTTTTTATAAAACCTTTCAATGTTCCTTGTCTCTTTTTTTTCTCCTACAGTCTTTTCCAAACGACTGACACCATTCTCTTCTTTCTGTCTTGTCAATCTTATATTTCCTTTGTCCTCATCTTACTTTTTTTTATCCTTTGAACTCCCCCACCACTATTTCATTTTAATATCCTCTCCTAACACCAGGTTTTGCAACCATTTTAAGAAAATCAAAGAAAAAAATGGTCGGCACTGCGAATACGAACATTAGCAGAGTCTGTTTCTGTTCACTTAGAACAGACTTTGAGAAAGACATGAATCCACTTCTCCCTGCGCTCTCTCACATCGCCCTATATTTCGTCTCATTGCTGCTATGTCACAATGGTTATCAGAAAAGTGAGTGAATCGGCATTTAGACAAACAATTCTCCTGTGCAGTCAGTTCAACAGGCATTGACAAAAGAATGATATTTCCTATTTTCATTTTTGGGAATCTAAATGTCTTTTATCAATTTTGTTGCTATTTTTAGCATTTTTTCATGCTGCTGAAAGTGTTCAAGGGATGCGCTTTTTGTTATTTGCTTAAATCCCCCTATATATATATATATATATATATATATATATATATATATATATATATATATATATATATATAAGTGAACATTGAAGTCAACACTCAGAGGCGACAGGCTGTTTTATGCTGGACGCAATTGTCAGGCCGCCTGAGTGTTGACTTCAATGTTCACTTTTATATTTATATTTACATACTGTGTACTTTATTCCATAGATATAGCACACCTTAAAACTATATTTCTTCATATATATATATATATATAAATATATATATATATATTGTGAGAATAACACGTGTGTCTCCTGAAATGCCCACACCAAACATGGCAGACTCGGAAACTGAGTTCACCAAAAGAAATTTAATGAAACAACCAGAACAAGCAATTGAATATTGTATTTACAACAAAAGTTAAAATTGAGAAAGACAATAATGTGTGTGTAACAAAAGAATGTGGAAAGTTTGTGTTCTAAAGTATGCGTAATGGTTGAAAGTGCGTACGTTCGGGTGGATGTGTGTATATAATGTTCTTATTATCATCGATCTAAGGATGATGTAATGAAAAGCAGCTTGGATTAGAAATTGAAGAGTTGGGTTCGAATTCCAGTCAAGTTCATTACATTCACTTATGTACAAATACACTTGGGAAACGTATCTCTTCGTGAACCCCCTCATCTAGTGATTAAATATAGGGCAAACTGGGCTCTTAAGCCTTGGGTGGCAACCAGCCTAGAAGAAGGACAACTCTGGATTTGAAACCGTATGTAATCCTAGTGACGAACATAGTATGCAGCTAATGAAAAGATCGTGGAATTACAATGACACTGAGATTCCCACTGCGATTGGCCGTGATTCAGTTTTCCTTCTGTTTGCCATCATTGTTGTGATTCACTTCATTTTACTTTCCGAGTCTGACAAGGCAGCTAGTGAATCCCTGTTGCAAACGCCTTCTCAGGCACATTTGTGCTTCTTCAAGTATAAACCACAGTTGGTTGTCTGTGGTTTATACTGCAACTATGCTGGGCAGACCTTAGTTACAGTTTCTGGAATTGAGCGCATCATCTGGTATGATCAGTAAGTCTGAAAAGGATTAGTAGACTCAAACCCTCAGTCACGATGACAAATGACTTTGTGCTGGCTCGAATATTGATGACCTCTGAACTGTTTCATCTTCCTTATTTCACTTACAAGACATAGGTCCACGCGTGGGTAAGGTTTCCAGGCACTTTCCAATACCGCTCGCTGGGATTGCCACCCAAGCTGCTCGCATAACGAAAACACCTTCTTGACTAATCGACTGCGGCTTGAAACGAATTCAGGTCTTATGGTCGGAAAATGACCTTTCTAACCACAAAGTCACGCGCCTATCTTAGTAAGTGAATATCTAATTACCACCTTTTTAATGACTGTGGAAATTTAACACGTTCTGCTTTTTAGATTTTCCGGTGGACGAGACTTAAATTTTGCCTATTTAAATTCATAAAGATGGCTGAACTTTCGTTTTGGATTAACCAAAAGAACTAGATTATACGAATTGTAAATTTTCCATTTAAATTGGGGATGGCAATCATGCTCACATTCTTTAGACAATAGACATTTCTGACTCTTTTCTTTCATCTTTTCTTTCCTTTTTTTTTTCTTGCATTCACAATTCTTCCTATATTCCTTTCTCTTTGAAGGGAGGATTCTAAATCTATTTTTCTCTCTTCGATTCTCTTTCACTAATTCGTCACATCTTTTTCGTCTTTCCTATTTTCCCCGAGAGCACGTTACACTCTCCATCTTCCCTTTGTGGTCGTTCCATTCCATTTCACACTGTATTTCTTTTTCCCCTCTTTCATTTCATATCATTGCTTCCTCTCTCTCTTTCTCTTTATCTCTCTCTCTCTCTCTCTCTCTCTCTCTCTCTCATTTTTTTGTTTACCCCTTCTAAATAAAACAGAGTTTAACAATACCAGGAAGATAAACATATGAAAGAAAGGCGAAAATAATAACGTAACACACACACACACACACACACACACACAACACACACACACACACACACACACACACACACACACACATGCAGACGGAATTAACAATGGTTTGTTCTATTCACCGACAATGTTGCTGAACGTTTGAGTCAGTGGACTGGACTACGTGTGGACTCGGGATCGGAGGTGAGGCTATAAAAATGGCGCATTGAATGCTGGTAATGGGGAGCCAGGTTAGAAAGGAGGGTTGACATGCATGTGAGCCTGAGAATGATGCCTGCCATAGTTGTGGCGAGAAAGCTATCTGTCAGGAAACTATCATTTGTGGTTGGCTAAATCACCTGCGAACGAAGGAGTATGTCCAAGGTGTTGGCTAAATCACTTACCAAACGAAGGAGTATGTCCAAGGTGTGTTTGTTCGAGAGGAAATTCATTTCTGAGACCTGGTCAGTGTGTATAACATACGATGTGATAAATGTGTTTATAGTGGTCATCGTTTTAGCTTGATGCGAGTACAATATGTGCATCTACTAATGTCTGTGTAAGGTTTCTATGAGAATTTCTTGGATTAGCATAACATTACGTGTATACGTTTAATGATTAAAAAATGGATTAATTTGTAACTGGTTAGAAAGGAAATCGAACAATCTGATCACTTACTGAAAATGCATTTTATATCTGAAATACGATATACAGCTGGAGTTCAGAAGATTCACCAACGTGTGAAAATCCTCACCAGAGAGAAAATAGACAATGAAATAGTAGTGGGTTGAAACAGAATGGTTACGCCTAAATATCATCTTGCGATACGGTTATAAGGGATTGGGGAATTGGCATCTGTCATCACACACATAAACGGCAAAATACGAAAATGAAAATAAATGTTTATGACAGTAGATGTAGCGAGCTTCAGTACTTTTTAATCCGACCATAATTTCTTGGAAATAACGAAATATCAATTAAAGAGAACGCGTGTTGTTTTTTTTTTTTTTTTTTTTTTTTATAATTACAATTTCTTCCTTGGATGTTTCAGTGAGAATGTTACCTCATAGGGAATACACGGGCCTGAAACTGGATGGAATTAGCGAGTCAAAACAAAAGATCAATTTAATCTCTCTTACTCTCTTTGCGATAAAATATGCCTGATTAATAACTAAGAAATTACATTACTTTAGAAATTGCTTTGTTTACGTTCGGATACGAAATTTGGCAGGTACTTTCTAGAATCTAGAAGGGATTTGCGTTTATAAGGTACCATTCTACATGATCGGTTACAGACTCCGTGGTTGAGTCGGTCTAGCGTACATCGGATATAACAATGGTTTCTCCTGCAAAGAGGCCTGCGGGTTCGAATCCTGCCCGCGCATATTTTTCTTTAATAAAATTTCTCGAATAATCAGGCTGGTAGACGAAAATACATAAATATACTGTTTAATGAATAAACGGAGTGTCTCACAAATATGGGTATCCACTAAAATCACTTCCTTTGTCTTCTTCACTTG